CTACCGCGGGTCGTACACCATGGGCCGGGAGGCGCAGGCCGACGCCAAGTTCCGGCGCGTGGCGCGGATCACGGTGTGCGGCAAGACGGCGCTGGCCAAGGAGGTCTTCGGCGACACCCTGAACGAGAGCCGCGACCCGGACCGGCCGCCCGAGCGCTACACGGCCCGCTACTACCTCAAGTTCAACTTCTTGGAGCAGGCCTTCGACCGCCTGTCCGAGGCCGGCTTCCGCATGGCCGCCTGCTCCTCCACCGGCACCTGCGCCTTCGCCCCCGAGCTGGGCGGCCCGGCCACCGCCGACGACAAGATCTGGACCAGCTACACCGAGTACGTCTTCTGCCGGGACTGAGCGCCCCGTCCGGCCCCGGGCGCCTGTCCGGCTTCTCAGCCTGCTCCTCAGGCTCCTTCTTCCCCACGGGAGGCTTCTCCGCCCTCTCTTTCCTCCCACCCTCACCGCAGGACCTGGTCCAGGCTTCTCAGCCCTCTCCACCAGCTCCTGCCACCCTCCCCATGGGACCTGGGCCAGGCTTCTCCTCATGCTCTTGCCTCCCTTCTTCCCCACTGGACCTTGTCACGCTGTCCTCAGCCTCCTGACTCCCTTCCTCTCAGGACCTCATCCAAGCCCCTCAGCCCTCCTCCGGCTCCTGCCTCCTTCCCTCCCCTGCCCACAGGACCTGGTCCAGGCTTCTCCACCCTCTCCTGCCTCCCACCCTCCCCACAGGACCTTGTCTAGGATTCTTAGCCCTCTCCTCAGGTGCTTGCCTCCCTTCTTTCCTACCCGACCTTGTCGCCCTCTCCTCCCCCTCCTGCCTTCCTCCTTCCCCACAGGACCTTGTCCAGGCTTCTCAGCCCTCTCCTCAACCTCCTGCCTCCCACCCTGCCCATAGCACCTTGGCCAGGCATTGCTGAGGGAGACGGACAGAGCCCAGTCCCTGCTTCCCTTGTGTTAGGGGTCAGGGGAGCCCTATGTAGAGTTTAGATGATGGCTGTGTGGGAGAGTTTGGATAGGGGTGCTCCTGCTTTCAGGCAGGGGTTTGGTCTAGATGAGCTGGAGGGCACTTCCAGTCCAGTTTTTTTGTGCCCCCTGCCCCCACCTTTACCTCTCCTTTTCCCTCAGGCTGAGAAACAAGCCTCCCCCACTAGGTTGAGCCCACAGCTGATTACAATTTGCATCAGTGCAAGGAAGGGACAGCCCTGGAAGTGCAGGGCTTTAAATGACTCTGGGTTTCAATTTCAAGGGTTAGTCTGGAGCCTTTCCTGGTATTCAGTGTGGGGCTATGGGGTTTTCTGAGAGACAGATCTGAATCAAGCTGGGACAGATCTGAATCAAGCTGGTCATCTGTTTTTTAGTCTGGCTTGGTAGGTCTCTACCTGGGGGCATTGTCCACCCCCCCCCC